TACATATTTTACAGTCACTGTTATGCATATTGATTATAAACACAGTTAAAAAGCTTCCTACCAGTGGCCCTCCTTCACAAAACTTAACAGCACAGTTTTATCATAGGTAGAATGCAAAATGTTTCAATACAAGTGTGACCAGAGCACTATTTCCTGGTTAGATTCAGATGATAATGACTACGCCACCCTGGGATTTGCACCCAAGGAAAAACAATAAAAGGGACACAGGTTTGGTGGTACAATAAAATAACAGAGACGTGTTGTCCAATTAAAAAAACAAAACAAAACAAAAAAACACTTTTATTAACAAAAAAAAGAAAAAAAAATCAACCCAGATTCATCATAGTCACCATATACACACTAGCAAGCTTATTATAACAATAATATTAAAACTCACAAGATTAAAAGAACAGTTTTCCAGACATTTATATGCGAAGGCCAAATCAAGTCAAAATCAACATTGCTAAACTAAAGAAATGTTGTACCTTCCCCACCAAAAGATATGTATACTGTATAACACAAAAATAAATCGTGCTCTCAACCACACATGTCTGCATAGCAAACAATAGGAAGAGGGACTCAAAACCTCATGCTGCAAACTCACAACCGTGTGCTCCACCCAGGTGACTAGCCTCCCCCTCAGCACACTCAGCCTTGGCTCAAACTAGAGAAAAAAAGGGAAACATTTGTGGGTCCGGTACAAATATTAATTACTCCTTCAACATAAGAAGAAAAGAAAACAACATACAATAAATGACAACATCAGTTGATAATGGAGTACAGCGTCCTACCTCGCTCTGGCAATAAACCCAAGATTACACAGTAGCGTACCAACGCGGCCTAAATGGCCAGATTCAAACTAATCAAACCGAAATCTCAAAACAAAAAAAAACAAATGAAAACACAATCCTAATATAATTACAAAAAAAATAACAAACCAAGCTCAGAAAAACAGCAGTGCGACCCGCCGTTAACCACCGCGTGAGCCGCGGGAGACTGCAAAACAAAACATGCCAATGAAGAAAAGAAACTCATCCAATTAATATAAAACAATAATTAAATCATACATACTCAAATCCACAGATCAACAAACATCAAGATGTTAAAAGGCCTTCACAAATGTTACACTAAAAACACACAATAGAAAATGATAATTCAACTAAACAAAACAAAATCAAACCAAAAACATAGCATTGCGATAGCCTTCCTACCTACAAGCTTTCATCAAGAGCTTGACACAACTCCCAGGAGACTTGACAGGAACGGCTACAGCGACCACTTCAAAGAAAAGAACAAACCAATACTATAAACACTAAATCGAGTGATTCTGCGTATAACGTCAGCCACCAACCTCACCTACCGGAAGAGGGGCGGGCATGACAACACCTACGTTCTAATGATTCCTGCTCACGCATTTAAATACACAGACCTTTATTATCCCAATTACTCATTTACAATAATGGATAAACAAATAAAGGGGAAAACCCACCCCACACTGCTACACAAGCATGTGTAAAATGTAATTTATGCAACATTTAAAACCTTTAACCCACGGGGTAAAAATCAACCCATGGCAACAGTTTAAGCCAAGTCTCTATCATAAAAATAAAGTCTAATTCATGAGATACAAAAAAGTCATTGAGTACGTTTACATGGACAACAATATTCCAATTTTAACACGATTAAGACAATACCCTGATTAAGAAACTACCATGTAAACATTTTTGATTACCTTAATCTGACTAAAGTCATACTCAAAGTAAACACAAATCGAATTAAGACATGTGGAGTATTCCTATTTTAGTCGCATTATTGAAGTGCAGTATAGACATGTACTCACCTTAATCACATTATTACCATCGTGTAGGACTTTTTGCCACATTTTGCGACAGGATACACACACGGCAGTGGTCAACCGTTTGACGGTAAACAAAAGAGAATGGCTTCAACAACGCTGTTGTCTGTTTGCACGTATAGCATGACAAATAATTAACTGCAAGCTTTCAGTAAATTAAAAATGAAACACCCAAAACTGTATATGGCATCATAACGAAGACGAACTATATGTTTATACGTGAAATTCTGGAGGGGACGTCGGATGGCGTCATGGGGGGACGTAATGATGTGTGCCATTAATCGATCTATGTACTCTAACGTGTAAAACGGGAACATGAAAGGAATATTCTATAATATGGTCTGTGACGGGGGGCTATTTGGATATGAAAATCCAGATTCACTGATAAGAACCAATCCCCTGGGCAAACCTGCACGAGGATATGTTTTAAAGTCAGCATCCTGAATAGCCGCCTCATTAAGGCGTGAATCAGTAGCCTGAGATGGGCCTGAGCCCACCATCTTTCTTTGGGACAAAGAAATAACAGCTGTAAAAGCCTGACTTGCTTTTCTCTGGTGGGACCATTTTGACGACTCCCATCACCAGCAGACACTGCACTTCGGAGAAGAGAATGTGAGTATCGTTGTCCTGAACCAAAGTTTGGACCACACCTTTGAAGCTCGGAGGTCTGTGAGCAAATTGAACTGAGTAACCTCATTTTATTGTTTGCAGGACCCAACTTGACATGCCCAGGATGGATTTGCCAGTCTGCAGCTGGGCGGCAAGGGATCAGAGTTTTTTGGACAGCAGGTCACTGCACAGAGGCAGGGAACTGACCACTGAGTTGTTGAGAAGAGAAGAAGTGCTCTTTATAGCCAGTTGGTCCGCTATCACAGAGGTAGTTTGCTTGGGCACATGCAAAGTGAGAGGGATGGGCACAGAGTTGACAGTGTGAACAAAGCCTCCAACACTCACAACTGAAGCTCAAACACCATCAGACTGGCCAGGGCCAGGACAGTTGCGCTGCGCAGCTCCCTAAAAGCCTGGGCCAGACTCGTCCATTGCTTCGAGGAGTTTGGTCTGGAAAACTTGGAGGACTGCCATAGTGAGAAGCACTGAGCCCACCTGTCCCGCTGCTGAGTAGGCCCTACTCGCTAGGGCTGAGGTGGTTCTGCAGGGCTTGGACGGATGAACAGCCTTGGCTTTGCTACGATCTAAAAGTACTGAAAACAGCTGAAAAAAAAGCGATGACTGACTGGGAGTGCACTGTTCCCCACTGAGCCTGTACCTGCACTTAGCACTACATTGTTAGAATCTGTGTTCCCACCCTGCCAGCCACTCCCACCTCCTCTGCCTGTTTGGTATGCTCTGAGTGAGAAATGTATGCCTGTTCTATGTCAGCTAAGAGAGATGTTCCTGAATCTGCCTGTTCCTCGTCAGTCAAGAGGGCCATTCATGGATTTTAACTGTGTCTTGTTTTGTCTTGTCAAGCCTGTCCGTTCATCCCTGCCTGCATTGTCTAGTCCAGGGGTGGCCAGCGTCAGTCCTGGAGAGCCACACTCCTGCATCCTCACGCCCTACTGTGTTGGACTTTTTACAGTCAATTGAGGTGCGAGGACACACCTCCTTAAGCCCGGGACACACTGCACGATTTTAGCAATCCTATAAGATCATTGCAAATCACGCTGTGCGACATGGATCTGATAAACTTGGGTAAGACATGTATGCAGACTGTTCGAAGATGACACCTGGTGACTCGTAGGCTACGACACACGTTACTATAGTAGAATAAATCATCATCAGCATACGCTAGTGGTAAACAAAAAACATGATGAATCACACTTTGGCAGTTGTAGTTTTTATGTGTGCTGAAAAATTGGAAGTGGTGAAAGAGGAAGGGATACTAGCTTGAACTAAGCAGTTTTATGTTTTAGCGCAGTGTCGCGTTGATTTCATGTTGCATTTTTATTGGCTGGTCAGTAAATGTGGGTCATAGCAGCAAACACACTGTGCGATGATCATGCTGAATTTCTGACACTGTCAGAAGGACCACCATTTAGGATCCATAATCCCTGAAATCGCCATGAATGTTTCACTGCCACGATCTCCTGCTGGAGTGCCTATGAACTCCACCAGAGGGCATTCCACCTCTGACATTTTCCAATCTACCCAGACTACATTTCCCATAATCCTTTGCTGGACTCATCATCATTGATTGCCTTCACCTGTATCTCATTACCTCATCAGTCTCACTCTATTTAAAGCCTGGTTCAACACACACACATTGCTCAGTATTGTTAGCCTGTAGCATGTCCTAGTTCCCGTGTTTCCTAGTTTTCTTGTTTCCTTATCTTTGTGGTTTTGATCCCTGGACTGTGTACCTTTTTTTCTGATCGTTTGCTGCCTGCCCTGACCTTTGCCTGTTTATTGGATTACTCTTTTGTCTCATCCTGGATTATACCTGTTTGCTGTTGATTGACCCTGCCTGTTTTGACCACTCTTTAAAATAAAGCCTGCACTTGGATCCTCAACCTTGTTGTCACACCTCCCACATTACATTCACGATGCCAATCTTTCGTCTAAGACAGCCGAAAATCATGCAGTGTGTCCTGGGCTTTAGAGCGGGTATATTGTAATGGGCCATCTGTGATTCAGTTCTGTTTTGAGTTAGACTGAGTTAGTTTTGCATTGTTTCATGTTAGTTCATGTTTCCTTTGTCCCTGTTCATTAGTTGCCATGGTTTTTGATTTGCCTTTGTGTGGTACATCTGTGTCTAGTTAATTATCTCATTAATCCCTAGTGTATTTATAGCCCTCAAATTCAATTGCTCCTTGTCCATTATCATCTATGTTTGCGGGTGTCACGGACAGAAGGGGAGAGACTCAGGTAAGTGCAACAGAGACATTTATTGAACAGTCAAAGAAGAGCAGGAGACACGCGATGCTGGCTGAGAGTAATATAGTCCTTCCTATTTCCAGGAGCGGGCACACAAAGAAGACGGGATGAAGACAGGATCTATGGCTTTCAAAGTGTCCGTAGACGGCACCAATCAGGATGTAGCACCAATTAGCTTGCAAGGAACCAATCAGACGTTGCTCCTGGAAATCATGAAGTTGTAATGTAGTGAATAGATGATGCTCAAGTTGTGACAAATCTGGATGTAAAGCTCAACGGAGAGATCAACACAGAAAAGATCTTCAGCAGAACAGATCAGACCCTGTATCTTTGTCACGGAGCAGGGGGAAAGAGACACATGGGACTGATTGAGGATGCTTTCAATTATTTGTACAAGTGAGATGAGAGAGGAGAGGCTGAGCTTTCTTAGTCTGAAACAAAAAGAGAGTTTTGTGTTATTACCCTGATGTTCTCTGATTTTAAAAGAGATGGATATGATGATTCCCAGAAGCTTGAATGTGACAACAGACTCATTTATCTCCAGGATGACTGGTTGTGCTGGCTGTTCCTCATGTTCTTCATTTCTTCATCTTCTTCTAGTCATCCCAACAGTACACAGTCCTTAGAATTTCACAAATACATGTTTATACGATCACCTGAATAAAAAAGGCTTGTTGATTAAGTATTCTTCAGTCTTGTTGCCTGGACACTAGAATCAGAGCAGCCGGTGCCTGGAGAAAATCTAATTTTGACAAAAATATGAGTTTGATTTTATCTCTAGATAACCAGACCCAGTCGCCTGGCTGGAAGACGGGGGGATTTGACCGACGGACGTCTGCAAAGCATTTGTGCCTCCGCACTGCACGCTGGAGATGGATGTGTGCTGAGTCCCATACCCTCTCGCTGCCCAGGGAAGGTAGCGGCTCCAGCTGTGCTGATCGTCTGAGCAGTATGACCGCAGGTAGCGTCCGAGCTCTTGAATCTTTCGCTCAGCCTGGCCGTTAGTCTGGGGATGGTATCCAGAAGATAGTCTGACGGTAATTCCTAAGAGCCGAAAGAATGCCTTCCACACATGAGAAATGAACTGGGGACCCCGGTCTGACACAATATCCTCTGGCAAGCCATATTTTCGGAACACATGGTGGAAGAGACTCCAACGGTCTCGAGGGCAGTGGGAAGGCCTCTTAGGGGAATCAACTTGCATGCCTTGGAGAAACGATCCACGACTACGAGCACACGTGTGGCCCTCTGAATTAGGGAGATCAGAGACAAAGTCCACTCTGATGTGAGACCAGGGTCTTTGGGGAACCAGCAGGGGTACTAATTTGCCAGCTGGAAGATGGCGGGGGCACTGCGACATGGCACAAACTGAGCAGCTGTGGACATATTTGATGACATCCTTGGCCATACCGGGCCACCAGTACCGAGCTTGAATGAGCGAAAGGGTCCGCTGGCTGCCTGGGTGTCCAGAGCCCGGTACTTCATGAACAGAGCCCTCCCTGCGGAGCTGGCTCGGTGCGGGTAGCATCACGGATGCAATGGGTGAGTTCCCATTGGATTGGGCTGACTAGGAGGGCTGGAGGGAGAATGGGTTCAGGGTCCGAGGGTTGAGCTGGAGCGTGCAAACGGGAGAGTGCATCTGCCTTGGGATTTTGGTTTCTGGGACGGTAGGTGATGATGAAATGGATGCGTGTGAAGAATAGGGCCCAGCGGGCTTGACGGGGATTAAGGCGTTTAGCATCTCTTAAGTATTGTAGATTCTTGTGGTCAGTTATGACGGTGAATGGGAAGGAATCTCCCTCCAGCCAGTGACGCCAGTCCTCCAGGGCTAACTTGATTGCCAATAATTCTCAGTTTCCAATGTTATAATTCTGCTCCACAGGGGTCAGTTTCCGGGAGAAGTATGCGCAAGGATGGAGGCGGGTAGGCTCGCCATGGTATTGAGAATTGCTGGTATTGCTGAACGCTTCCTTGAGCTGGTGGAAGGCTTCGTGGGCGTCAGGGTTCCAGGACAGAGACTTGGGCTTGCCGCGTAGCATGGAGGTGAGGGGCGCTTTAAGCTGACTGAACAGGTGAATGAATCGTCTATAGAAGTTAGCAAATCCTAGGAAACGCTGGAGTTCCTTCACTGAATGTGGAAGCAGCCATTGCTGAATGGCAGTTACCTTGCCCTGGTCCATCTGGATACCTTCTGGGCTGATGTTGTACCCAAGGAACTGTACCGTGGAACGATGGAATTCACATTTCTCCAACTTCAGATACAGATGGTGTTCTCTGAGCCATTGAAGGACCTGCGTAACGTGGTGGCGAAGTTCGGCCAGGTTCCGGGAGTATATAAGGATGTCGTCGATATAGACAATCACGAACTGATGAAAGAACTCCCGGAACACCTCATTCATGAAACACTGGAAGACGGATGATAAGTTGGATAGGCCATACGGCATGACCCGATATTCGTAGTGGCCTGAGGGTGTAATGAAGGCCATCTTCAGGTCCAGATTGGAGAATATGCGGGCTCCATGGAGTTCCTCGAGGGCGGCTGGGACCAGAGGAAGTGGATATGGCAACTTCACCATCTGCGAGTTCAGGGCTCGATAGTCAATACATGGCCTCAAGCCTCTGTCCTTCTTGCCCACGAAGAAGAAACTTGAGGCGGCGGATGTGGATGGCATAATAAAACCTTGCTGGAGCGCCTCCTTGATGTAATCCTCCATTGCCTTGCGCTCCGGGATGGACAAGGGGTAGACTCGACCCTTGGGGAGTTTTGCTCCAGGCAGCAGGTCGATGGCACAGTCCCATGGCCAATGAGGTGGCAGGCGGGTGGCTGCCTGCTTGCTAAACACATCCTGGAATGCCTGATAGTCAGATGGGACCGTACACTTCACTTGGGGCTCAGGGCTTTCGACGAGGGTGGAACACACTTGGATCTGTGAGGATTTCCTGAGCGGCTTGGGCACCGAGGACAGACAGTTTTGGAAACAGGTCTCGCTCCAGCGAATGATCTCACATGGATCCCATCTGACTTCTGGAGAATGTTGGTTGAGCCAGGGGCGTCCCAGGATGATATCCACCGTGGGTCCCTCCAGTACCAGAAATGAGATGGACTCCTCATGCAGGCACCCAAGTCTCATCCTCAGAGGGGGAGCCCGATAATTAACCCTTTCACATCCAAGCGGCTTTCCTTGTATTGTCTTGACTCGGAGTTCCCGGGGCTGCCGCTTTCGGGGTAGGTGGAGTCGAGTTAGGAGGGCTTGGGATATGAAGTTCCCCGAGGAGCCCGAGTCGACAAGGGCGGAGACTGAAACAAAGGATTCTGGGGTAAGTAGTTGAACTGGCAGAAGGGACAATGTGGAAATATCTGGTTCTAGTTAAATCATACTCACCGCTGGACGTGGAGGTCTCACGGGGCAGTGCTTGATGAAGTGATCTGGTGAGGCACAGTACAGACACAGTCCATTAGCAAGGCGGCGAGCGCGCTCCGTGCGGGACAACCGGGCAATGTCCATTTGCATGGGTTCAGGTACTGGAGGGCCGGAGGTGGATGAGGCTAGCTGGTGGGCGGCTTCATCCTCGAAACAGGCTGTAAGGCGTTGCGAAATGCGGGAAGCGCGCTGCATAAAACTCTCCAGACCCACATTGTCGTCGTAGATCGCCATCTGAGCGCGCAGATGGGGATTGTGTCCCAGTCGAAAAGCACTCAGCAGCGCGGCCTCATTCCATCCACTGGTGGCCGCAAGAGTGCGGAATTCCAGAGTATACTCATCAATCGACAACCCGCCCTGCCATAACCGCAGGAGCTGGTCTTGCGTGGACAGCCTACCCGCGGCAACACCGAAAACCTCCTTGAAATGGTTGGAGAAAGCTTCAAAGGAGTTAACAATGACACTTTGGGCATTCCAGATAGCCTTCGCACACAGCAACACTTTACCACTTAATAGGGAGATGAGGAACGCTACCTTAGATCGCTCGGTGGTAAACTTCTGTGGCTGCATTTCGATGAAGAGAGAGACTTGGAGCAGAAAGCCGCCACACCCAGCTGCGTCACCCGCGTAGGAATTCGGGATGGCCATGGGACATACAGAGGCAGGTGCCAGGGCTGGTGTTGGAAGGAGGGACGTACGGAGGGTATTGACCAATTCCTCTAGCATGTCTGCCGCCGGGGCTTCATGAAATGCGTATGGTCCTGGTCCGGTCTTCTGTCACAAACACAGGCTAGGAGACACAGGTAGAGGTCAAACAAGGGTTTATTAACAGGAGACTGTGAAGTGAGCCAGGTGATGTCGAGGTGAGTAAAGCATGAGGTGAATCAGGTTCTGATGGCTTGGCTCGCTGTGACTGTCTTCGGGAATCTTGCAGGGATCTCGTGGAGCGGTGGAGAATCGGAACGGTGGAGAAACTGGAACTTCTGCGGTAAGGAAACACATAGGTAAACTGAGAGAGAGTTCGGCTAGGATCGAGGTAGTGAACGGTAGTCCGGACAATGACTATGTGAAACATGAGCGCTGATAAAGGGAGGCTTAATGAGCTGCGGCAGGTGCGGGGAATCAGAAGGCAGGTGATTGTGATCTTGTGAACGTCGGTGCTGATTGTGGTGACTGAGGTGACTGTGACTCTCTGACAGTGATCAAAGTAATATTTATATGCTTAAGTCTACAGCATATATTCATCATACTACATGCCAAGTGCAAAAACAAACAATGGTTATTTGCCAACCAAACTGAAATTGTCTTTGGCAAGCCCTGAAGTAAAGCAACAGCATGGATGATAAATAATTTAAGCTTATTTTGGAGCGTGAAAATTATGTTAATTCAAATCTCAAAGAAACTCTTTTACAACCTCAGCACATGGTTTGTCTAGTCAAGCACACTGTTTCAGACGGTTTAGTGCCAGAGGTGCAGTCCTGATGTTGGCAGTAACAATATGTCTATGCAGAAGAATCATATGGCACATACGCATAGATCAGGAGGAGGCAGCTAGACAGGATGCCCCACATGCATAGATTGCTGTTCACTGAATGTGTTTTATGTGCATATTGTCAATGCTTATGAACGTTTGCAAATTAAGTAGTCACGGGCTAGTTGCCACACTTTTTTAGTAACATTCTTTTATTAACATTTTGCTTAGGTTATGGTTATTTCTGAAAGCAACATACTATAAAAGAAATTGTAATAATAACATTTTAAGTATAGTAATAATAGTAGTAATAACAATAATAAAAGAAGATTTAGAACATTTGCATTTTACTTTTCTGTAAAATTTGTATTAAATACTTGATATTTTACAGTACAGTGGTATTATAACTATAGTAAAATATTTTTTGTTTCTGTTTATTGATTTGATTACATTTTAAAATGTACAATATATAATAATAGTATTTACTAAATAATAATGTTTTAAATAATTTAATCATTTTTATTAATATTTCATAAAATGTTAAATAATATTTAGTTTATTAATGAACAATTATTTCATAAATAACTGTTTATTTAATACATTAATATTGTGTAGTCATATTGAATGGGTTCCATAAAAACGTCTCGAGGTTACATATGTAACCATGGTTCCCCGAAGGGAACGAGACGCTGCGTCGAACGCTTTGGGAACGCCCTCGGGCCGAGAGCGCCGCCCCGCCCCTTGAGCTTTCTGCGGTGGAGTACGGGTCGC